TCAACCTCAAAGATTTCCGTGTGCTAGTTGTGGGCGAGTTGCAAAAGTACTTAATAGCTAAGAAAGCTGCAAGACTCCAATGCTTGATGGGGAATCGACAGCGTGAGGAGGCTTCAGAGTCCATGACCTAAGCATACATGCGCTGTGAACGTGGTTCGGAATACGCACATGCACATGCATGCGCGCATTGGTTGAGGTATTCACTGACCATCTCCAAGGTCAGCAGGAATGTGAAAATGCTGCAACTTGTTCACATCGTGCACCTGTGCAATAAAATATATCATAGTATACAGTATAGTATCACAAACTACCACAATTCCCAAATTGTGTTAGAGTGCAATTGCCTCGGTGAGCAAGGCAATGTTTTTGGCGAGTGTTTTCTTTATCCACTCTGCCCTCACATCCTGCGATGTTCGTGGAAGTTAGAAACATTAAGGATTAGTATTTGTTTTGTTTTTGTGTCCTGTCAACCTCTCCTATTTGAATCACATTTACATTGTATCACAAATCACGACACAATGACTTCAATCGCAGCTCCTTGGCGTTGCTCTTGAGATCTGAACCTGCAGAAGCATTGGGATTCTCCTGCGCCTGGGCTAGGTGCATTCCCTTTGCCTCCTGGGCAGACCCAGGAGCAGAGGCCTGCGCCAGCTCCTGGGCTGGCAATGGTCCCTGCTCCTCGGGCTTTTCACCTTTTGTCTTGCGCCTTTTGGTCTGACGCTCATCTTGCACACCCTTGGATCTCCGCGCAGCAGCTTTCGCAACTGGCACTGCAGGGTTCTCACCCCCTGGTGGCACTGACAGGTTCGCGCCCGCTGGCGGTGCTGAAGGGTTCTCACCCGGGGTCCCACCTGCCATCTCCACTTCATGCACTGGCGGTGCTGACGGGTTCGCGCCCGCTGGCGGTGCTGAAGGGTTCTCACCCCCTGGTGGCACTGACGGCTTCTCACCCGCTGGTGGTGCTGAAGGGGTCCCACCTGCCATCTCCACTTCATGCACTGGCGGTGCTGACGGGTTCGCGCCCGCTGGCGGTGCTGAAGGGTTCTCACCCCCTGGTGGCACTGACGGGTTCTCACCCGCTGGCGGTGCTGAAGGGGTCTCACCTGCCATCTCCACGTCATTCGCTGGCGGTGCTGACGGGTTCTCACCCGCTGGCGGTGCTGAAGGGTTCTCACCCGCTGGTGACACTGACGGGTTCTCACCTGCTGGTGGTGCTGAAGGGTTCTCACCCCCTGGTGGCACTGACGGGTTCTCACCTGCTGGCGGTGCTGAAGGGTCCTTGCCATCAACTGGCTTTGATGAGCCACGCCCCCGGCCACGGCCACGCCCTTTCCTACTTTTCACACCCTTGCCGATGCCATCGAAGTTGGCATGACGTGCATTTTTGATACGCTGATCTTCATCCGCCAGGTCAGCATCATGTTCGTCCCCTTCAACCTGTTCTACTTTCTTAGCTCGCTTTCCCTTCCCTGATCCCTTTGCTGATCTAGCTTTTGCCTTCGCATTTGCTTTGATCAGCATCATTTGCTCGGCAGCGCCCTCAGGAAGCTCATCACTTCTCAGCGCAAGTCGCATCTTTTTTTGCGCCTTGCACGCATGATAACGAGAGTGTTTGGTGATGATCTTGGGAACTCAAACTCTGTCCTGTTTTGTTTGTTGCTTTACTTTCCGTCAGCTGTTAAAAAAGGTGTTCAACTCCGGTCTAATTGAATGGCCTGCAAAAGTTCTGGGCAATTTGTTTCGCTCGCGCACTGTGCAAGATCTGCAATGGCTTCGGATGTTTGAGCTTCAATGATAGACAGTTCCGGAGGTAGCACTGTCAGTGGCTTGCGGTCCTGCGACACAGAAATTTCGACACGTGTGTGCAGTGATAGAGCGTCCGTGCAAGTTGTGTAGCGGCTATAATATAATAGTAAAAAAACATACTAGCTTTTAATTTACGCGCACATTTCAATTAGAAAGCTCGTGTACAGAACACAGCAAAAAGGCAGACCCACCCCCCAATCCTTGAAAGTTCCTTTCGATTTTGAAGTAGGCTTTTCCGGAATAGTCGCTGTGGAAGCTGACTGAACTCCAGCCGTGTCATGAGCATTGATTCCAGATTCCCCCACACCGGG